GACAAAAGCCTTGAACCTGGTCCGCTGGTCAGCCCGAGTCTGCTTCTACACTGGCATGATCTTTAGACCCTCATCCTTTAGTGATGTGCCCAGGAAATCTCAATATCTCAGGTTCCTTAATGGGCAGGGGACCAGATAGATCTCCAGGGATTGATCTTCATGTCCTTAACCAGGCGCCCAGCTTGGGGACGGGGATTCACTCCTTGAGCTTTATCTCCATGAGCCCCACAGCTTCGACTATGACTGGCCCTGGCTCCTAAGACTACTGCCTCTGGGGAAGCCTCCTAGGCCTTCTAATCCTGGCCCCTGGTCCTGCAGACCCTCCCACTGCACCAGCATCATCTACCATTTGGTTCACACCCCCTACCCCAAGAAGAAGCAAACCTCATGTTTTTGAGATCTTTAGAAGACTATGCTAGTTTGTATGATGAGTGCCAGTCAACCACAGACAATTGCCTTTTCTGTGTTTCCAAGCTATTCAAACAAGGTAGATGGCTTTGTCTCCCTGCTAGTAGTAAAGGAGCACTAATGTTCAAGTGTTTTCAATTCTACTACTGTGCTGAGATATTTGGGACATTTTCTATGCTGCAATGAAGGCTTCAGTAATAGTACCAACTCTCTTATTCTTCTAGATGCACAAAATCTGGGAGACTTCTGCCTCTCTAAACCTTTGTTCCTTTTGGTAACTACTAATAATCAAAGGTGGCAGAGTTGCCTAATATCCTGAAATTGAAACTGTGCTCCCTGAACTCAGGTGCTCACATAAGTGCTGTTAAAGGTCAGCTTCTCTCTGATCTGCAAACTTGTGTGTTTTAAGAAAATGGAGGAGAAAATGTTAGTGCTATAATTTTATAATATTTTCTTTATCTTTTTTTCTTTTCTTCTTCTTTTTTTTTTTAGATTTATTTATTATGTGCACAGTGTTCTGTTGGCTTGAGTGTATACCTGAAGGCCAGACCCCATTACAGATGGTTGTGAGCCACCATGTGGTTGCTGGGAATTGAACTCAGGACCTCTGGAAGAGCAGGCAGTGCTCTTAATCACTAAGCTATCTCTCCAGCCCCATTTTCTTTATCTTTTCTCTGTGCTTTTGTTTATTTAATTTATTTACTTTGGTTTTTCAAGGCAGGGTTTTTCTGTGTCCTCAGATAGTACAGGTACCACCACCCTTGAGGCTTCTGTGGTTTCCTCCTTAGTCCATTTTCCGGGTTCTGGTAGAATTAAAAGCAGGCTTTAATTCTTCCTCAAACTCCAGGCCCTGAACGGATAACAGATCCTTTAGGTAGCAGGAAAGTTGGCTCTTTCACCCCTTCCAGAAAGAAGGCCACTCCATATCAAGCAAAGGCTGCACCTTCTGCCCTCCAGGCCAACACTCCAGGGGATGAGCCAAGTTCTGGCAGCTGCTACAACATCACCCCCACTAAGTACCTCCAGTGGGTCCCCCCTAGAAAAAAGAATGCAGGGCCTGGAATACTTGTCCTGTTACCTCAGGCTGTCCCAAAGAGAACCATCAGGCCCTGTCTTTTAAGGTTCTTAAGAGAGTGAGGAGGCATTCTGAATCAGGCCCCGTTCACAAGTAGCTGCACAATCCTTTTTTTTTAAAAAAAAAAATACGAAAAGACAACTATACTCATATTCTAAAAGAGTATTTTTGCCCAAATTCATATGTTACAGTTTAAGCAAGCATTGTTGGTCTGTTTAAATTCAACATGCTCCCCTCCAACACACATTGTAGAACTAGGTAATGTGTGGGATAGTGACCAAAAAAACCAAAAAAACTCATTACAAAAGTGTGGCACAGATAAATGGGCCCCGTCTCAACAGGGAAGATTTATCTAGGAAATTACCAATTGTCGTACACATATGTGGGTGCATGTGACAGATCCTATGAATCCCGTGGTGAGGGTACAGGGCTTAGCAAAGCCGGAGGACACACAGACAGGACTCTATCCTGTACCATCAGAACCATAGTGCACACCAAGTTTTGGGTTCCGTATTTTTCACTGGATAATATATGAGCAATTTTCTGTATCATAGAGTTAAAGTCTGTGTTAATACATAATGAAAAATTTGTTGTTGAGCCATGTCTCAGTTTGTTGCAGCTTTTTTTGTTTCTCGGTGTAGCTTTAGAGCCTGTCCTGGAACTTGCTCTCTAGACCAGTCTGGCCTTGAATTTACAGAGATCCACTTGCCTCTGCCTCTCGAGTGTTGGGTGTTAATCCCAACACTCGGCTTTTTTAAATATTAGAAATTTGAGTCTATTAAGAAAGTAGCCAGGTGGCAGTGGCGCGTGCCATTAATCCCACCACTCTGAGGCAGAGGCAGGAAGATCTCTGTGAGTTCAAGGTCAGCCTGGCCTACAGAGTGAGTTCCAGGACAGTCCCCAAAGCTACACAGAAAAACTGTGTCTTGAAACACCCCGCCTCCCCAAAAAAAGTATGTCATTGTGCCCAGAGATTTTTTTCATATCAGAAATGTTTTCTTTAGAGTATAGAAGTTGAATTGAAATGTAGGATCTGAACTATGCTTTCCCATAGGACCATTTGAGGGGAGGAAGGGAATGTGTGTGTGTGTGAGCGTATGTGGAACAAGGGAGACTGAGACTAATGAGTAGAAGTACAGTGACACACATGTAAGAATATCGAGGAACCTGTCATTTTGTACTCTTTAAAAATTATTTTTAAGAAAAGTTATATTAACATTTCTCTTTGCTACTAGCAATGGATAATAAAGGTAATTTTCACAGTCTTTAGATGTGAAATTGTGTGTACGTGTGTGGGTATGTGAACACAGGTGCCTGTGGAGTGCAGAGGTACAACTCCTTTGTAGCTGGAGTTATGGCAATTGTAAGCTGCCCAATGTGGGTACTGAGAACCAAACTCAGATCCTTTGTGAGAGTAGTAGGCAGTCTTAACTGCTGAGGCCCTCTTTAGATTTTTTTAGATTTTTTTTTTTTAATCTCAGTTTTCACTATAGGGAATTGAACTCAGGGCTTCATACATGCTAGGTAATTGCTGTGTATTGAGCTATATTCCTTGCTTTAAAATGGTTTGTTTTAATATTTTTATCTTGGGAGTTAGAGAAATGGCTCATCAGTCTGCCCTTGTAGAAGATCCAAATTGGGATCTCAGCACCCAAATGACAACTCAAAACCCTCTGTAACTCCAGTTCCAGGATTCAGGATTCATTGCCTTTTTCCTGCCTCTACAGACAACAGGTACCCATGTGTTACACTTATCTACACATGTAGGCAAAACATTCCTACATTAAAAAACACAATTTAAAAAAAATCTAAAATTAAATAGTCTTTATTTATTTATTCATTTATTCATCCATTTATTTAGGCAGAGCCTTGTTATGTTGCCCAAGCTAATCTTTTACTCATAATCTTGTTGCCTTCTCCTCTAAAGTGCTGGGCCACAGGTATGAATCACCATGTCTGGCTCTCTGTTGTCACAATTTATTGAACGAAAAAGATGGACTTTAAATTATATTTTGATTATGAGGAAAAGTTTGGAGTTAGGCTTTTTGTCAATTTCTTCAATAACAGCTTCAATTTAATATGATTATAAATTACACTGAATCTTGATACTTTTTTTTTCAAGATAGGATTTCTCTCTATGTTGTCTGTCCTGGAACTAACTCTGTAGATCAGGCTGGCCTCAAACTCTGAGATGTGCCTGCCTCTGCCCCCCTACCCCCACCCCAGTTCTGGAATTGCAGGCACATGCCACTACCACCAGACAGAGTGCACTGCTTTTTAAAGATTTGAAAATATTTTTTTTTTTTTGGTTTTTCGAGACAGGGTTTCTCTGTGGCTTTGGAGCCTGTCCTGGAACTAGCTCTGTAGACCAGGCTGGTCTCGAACTCACAGAGATCCGCCTGCCTCTGCCTCCCAAGTGCTGGGATTAAAGGCGTGCGCCACCGTCGCCCGGCTTGAAAATATTTTTATTTATTTGTTTGTTTATTTTGATTTTCGAGACAAGGTTTCTCCATAGCTTTTGGTTCCTGTCCTGGAACTAGCTCTTGTAGACCAGGCTGGCCTCGAACTCACAGAGATCTGCCTGCCTCTGCCTCCCGATTGCTGGGATTAAAGGCGTGCGCCACCACTGCCCGGCTGAAAATATTTTTATTTACATATACGTGTGTATGTATGTATGTGCTACATGGATGTGAATGTCCATGGATTCCAGAAGAAGACATCAGATCCTCTAGACCTGGAGCATAAGCAGTTATGAATGCCCAATATAGGTGCTGGGAGTTGAACTAGGGTCCTCTGGAAGAACAGGGAGTGCTTTTAACTGCTGAGCCATCTCTCCAGCCCAAGAATATTGATATTTTAGCACATATAATATCTATATAACAAAGGTTGATTTCCTATTTTATTTTAAATGTATTCCTCTAGTTTTTTGCTTAAAAAATCTTCTAGCAGATGAGAAACTTATTCTTTTCTACTAAGGACTCTTATAACATGCCAAGGTTTTCTAGTGTGAAATAGACCCAAGGGGAGGAAGCCAGAAAGCTGGTCAAACTATCCTCTCCCCCGCCCCCCATTTCAGGGGACGTTGTCCATAGGTTTTTTCAGACTTTTTTGTCATGTTAGATTATAGACCTGTTGGTTTGTGGGAAGGATCAGCACTTGTATAAAGTAACTCAGCTCTTGTCTGGACATGTGCCCTTGGATGAGAACTTAGGCCCTCCAATCTCAGTTTCTGTATCTGGAAGATAAATGATCATATAAAGGATGAATTTTGTTTTTTTCGAGCTAGGGTTTCAATGTATAACAGTCTTAGCTGTCTTGGAACTAGCCCTTGTAGACCAGGCTGGCCTTGAACTCACAGAGATTCGCCTGCCCCCAGCTCCTGAGTGCTGGGATTAAAGGCATGCACCACCACCACCTGGCATGAAGGATGATTTTGGGGTGTTTGTGATTATTGTGATTCTACATGCCCAGGGTGAAGGAGTGGATTGACATGAAGCTACTGTCTGTCTCGTTGCAGAGTTTTGGAAGTGCCAGCACAGTAACACTGCCTGAAACCCTGTTGTTTGTTTCAACCCTGGATGGAAGTTTGCATGCTGTCAGCAAGAGGACAGGCTCGATCAAGTGGACTTTAAAAGAAGGTAATTCAGATTATCCTTGAGTAACATAGAAACTTGCTTAGCTGCTGCCAGGTAAATATTCCAAAGGAAAATGGTTATATGTTGTTTAATAAGAAAGGAGCATGAGCTAAAAAGAGGAAAAGGTTTTCTACTTAGAGAGTAACTTTACAGCCTAAACTTTTATGATTCTCTACTGAATGCAGCAGATGAACAAATATCTTCTCTTTTATGCTTCATTGCTTTTGTCCAGATGCTGAAAAACTCTAGGCTTTTCTATTAATAGCTCTGGCTGTTTTCTGAAGACCTTTTGCATTAAATGTGTTAAGTTCTAATGATCGGAATCTTGTAATCATAATTATAAGATATCTTCACAACCTTTTAAACTACTCACTTGTTTCTTATAGAGCCTGAAATAACCATGGCCTGTAAGATTTGACATTCACTCAGCTTAACCACATTACTGAGTTGTTGAAATGAGGCTTGTTTCTCATTTAACCTCATCTTACTATCATTGCCTTCTGACGGTGGTGGGGAGCTCCACAGCTGGAGAATTCATTCTACTTGATTTCTAATGCAGTCTTCCCAGACAAACTGTGCCCATCTCGGATTCAGGGATGTTCTGTTAGTCTGTCCATTAGTAAGCCTTATTTGGTCTAATTCAGGTCTGACTGGCGTGTTTCCTTTCATCACTTCTCCACGGCTTATTATCTTCATGAGCACAGCTTCAGTTTCTCTGATAAAGCAGTCTTCCAGATGGAAAAATATTGTCGTATGTCAGAAAGTCCCACGTCATTTTGTCAGTACTGTGCAAACCTGCTTGAATGCTCGAGTCATCCTGCCCCACCTGTTTAGGCTCAGAATGTAGCAGCAAGAACTTCAAGGCACCCGAAGAGCCACCAGCACAGTAAGAGTTGCCAAAAGATGATTCTGTGTGCTGTCTGGTTTTGTAGGCTCTGAGAACTCATGTGTACAGTCTCTCCTGTAGCTGAGAGAGGAAAGAATTTTTTCCCATTTTTTTTTCATCCCATTTAATGTGTGTTAAGAGAATATCCCGGTTTAATTCCCTGCACCCACATGACAGCTTACAGCTGTCTGTAACTCCAGTTCCAGGGACACCCTCACAGAGATATATATGCAGGCAAACTACCAGTGCACATGAAATAAAAATAAATTTAAAAAAAAAGAGAGAGAGAATATCTTAGCCTGGAAAAGATACTGTATGGAACATAAAGGAAAAGGGAGACCTTGTCCTCAAGGTGCCATAGTTTGATAGGTGCCAAAGACAGTTTCAGTGTAGAGCAAGGTTCTGTGACTGCTCAAGGGAGGTTCTAGGCACAGGATAGGCTGGTCACTGATGGTTTCAGAGGTAGGCATGACTTGGGGGAGCAGGGTGGGATTTCATTTGGGATGGAGGCCTGACAGAGCAAAGGAGGGTTGTAGGATTTGGGGGAAAGGGCTGGCGCATTCAGCAGAGTCTGGAGATACACTGGAGGTGGAGAGGTCCAGAGCCACAGAGTGTGTTGAGCCTGACTGATTCAACAGGAAATCGGGAGCTATTAGCATGTTTGAATATGAGTGACTCATCAAACGTTCAGCTTTCAGGTTAATCAGCAGTAGCCTGTGTGGGAAGACTCGAGATAGAAAAGCAACCTGAAAACAGAGTGGGGAAGAGCCATGGATAGATAGAGTCAATAGAACCCAGCTACTGATTAGCTAAGAAGCTCAGAGAGGAATTGTTTTTGCTTTTAATTTTATATGTGTGTGTGAATTTTTTTTTTTGATTTTTTTTTTTTTGAGACAGAGTTTTTTTTTCTGTAGTCCTGGATGCCCTAGAGCTCCCTTTATAAATTAGGCTGGTCTTGAACTCACAGAAATCCACCTGCCTCTGCCTCTCAAGTGCCTGGCCACCGCCCTGCCTTTTTCTCCTGTTTTATTTCTTTGCTGTGTCTTTAGGGTCTATAACAGGGTCTAACTACTTCATGATATAGTTTTATATTAATAGTTTAGATATGCTAATTTTGAAATATTTAGTTATAACCATAGATTAAAATTTTATTGTCAACTCACAGTATCAATGTGTTATATTAATATCTTTGTACAGAAATATAAATGGAAGCTACTGCTATCCAGGACTTATTTTAATTTTAAAATGTAGTTCTGCTGGGCTTGGTGGTCTATATCTATAATCCTGTCACTTAGAAGGTCTAGGCTGAAAAAAGAAAAAAAAAAGGTCTAGGCAGGAAATCAAGAGTTCAAGGTCATGCCTAGCTAAAAGTGGAGTTTGAGGACATTGTAGACTACAGAAGGCCCTGTTTCAAACAAACAAACAACAATAAAAAACACATATTACCCCTCCACAGCTCATTCTTTTATATATATAATTTATTTATTTTTATTTTATGTGCATTGGTGTTTTGCCTGCATGTTTGTCTGTGTGAGGGTGTCAGATTTTGGAGTTACAGACAGTTGTTAGCTGTTATGTGGGTAATGGGAATTGAACCTGGGTCCTCTGGAAGAATAGTCAGTGCTCTTAACCACTGAGCCATCTCTCCAGCCCCTCACAGTTCATTTTTTAACAATAAGAGTTACAACATAGTAGATATTACTTTAAATGATTAGATCTTAAATAAATATTACTAACTGTCCCTCAACCCCACCCCCACCCCCACCCCCAAAACAAGGTTTCTCTGTGTAACAGAGCTCTGACTGTCCTGGCATCTGCCACCACCGCAAAGCACACTAACCCATTCTTAAGTGTTATTTAAAAATTTCTCTCTGCTGGGAGATGGCAGACACCTTAATAGGAGGCATAGGCAGGTGGGTCTCTGTGGGTTCGAGGCCAGCCTGAGCTACAAAGAGAGTTCCAGGACAGCCAGGGCTATGTAGAGAAATACTGCCTCGAAAAAACAAAACAAAAAAACAAAAAACAAAAAAAAAGAAAAAAGGGGGAAGAACCTCCCTTGCTTGAGCTCAAAATTTTGATTCTAGTAGTGACACAGACAGGAAAGAAATTCATGGTGAGAAAAGCTGTGGAGAAAAACAGAGTAGGAAAGTGGATCAGCGCTGGACTGGGGTATGTTTGAAGGACTGCAGTTTTCAACAGGCCCCACAAAGAACATGTCATTTGATCAAGACCTCAGGGAGACAAGAGCTTCTAGTAGTGTGAAGATACGATGGAGTGTTATTGAGTTTGGGATTATCTCCCACAGGCTCATGTCCACAGCTGGTGGTGCTCTATTGAGAGGTTGTGGAAACTTGAAAGAGTGAGACCTGACTGTCGGAAGTAAGCCACCGGGGACGAGCCCTGAGGGTTCTAGCTGGGTCTTGCTTTCCCCTTGGTCAACATGATGTTACTGGCAGCCTTCTCTTTCCACTTACATGGACTAAGCTCCTTCCATCATGGCCTTCCTACCATGGTGAACTGTATTCTCTAAACTGTGAGCTAAGGGGCTGGAGAGGTGGCTCAGTGGTTAAGAGCACTGGCTACTCTTCTAGAGGATCTGGGTTTCATCTTCAGCACCCACGTGGCAGCTCACAATCCTCTGTAATTCTAGACCAAAGTTATCCAGCATCCTATTCTGGCTTCCACAAGTGCCAGATATATACATGGCACATAAAATAAAATGAAACAAAACAAAACCAACCCTGTGAGCCAAAATAAATCTCTTTCCCCATTAAGTACTGATTAAGTCTGATATTTTGTCACAGCAATGAGAAAAGTAACTGAAATACAGAGTAAGGGCAGGAGTTTCTGTGACCAGAGAGCATTGGGATGGATGGGTGTGACAGCAGTGGAGCAGCTGGAGGTAAACTGAGCTTGGAGAGAGATGGAAGCCAAATAGGATATATAAGCGACCCTATCCTGCCTTTATATGATTTATTATAAAGGTACACTTTTGCTTTCCTGAAACAAAATTTATAGATAGTGACTTACATACATAGTTTTACAAAGAAATTTATTGCTCAACTGGTAATCTAAAATTGAATAATTGGAAAAGAATTGTTAAGAGTTGAGATAGGATCTCGCTGTGTGGCTCAGACTGATCTGTAGAGCTCAGGTTGGCCTCAAATTTGTGGTTCTTCTCCCTTAGACTACTTAGTACTGAGATTATAGACACATATTACCATACCTTGCTCAGGAAAATAAATTTTAATCATATATACAGAATTAACTCTGTAAATACTTGGGCCATTCAGCTATGAGGGACACTGCACCTGTGAGGAAATACTGGGTCTGTTGATGGAGATGAGGATATCAACAGAGCCATGGAGACACTTTCCAAGATGGTGGACACTTCATGGTAATGGTCCATGTAAAAGAAGCAGTCTTGACTCATACAGCAGATATAGTTTGAGAAAATTCAGTATATCATTCAAAATATGTTTTTGAGCCTATGTGTAAAGCATATTGTGGGCTTGGATAGCTACTAAAGGTTTTTGTCCCATGTGGGTGACTGGCAAGTCAGAGTAGTGTGTCTGGTTATTTAGGACTACCAAATGGCTGGGTGTGGGGTGTGGTGGCACATGTCTTTAGTCCCAAACATTGGAGTCAGAGGCAGGTGGATCTCTATGAGGCTAGCCTGGTCTACAAAGTGAGTTTCAGAACTGCCAGAACTATAGAGAGATCCTGCCTCAAAAAAAAAAAAAAAAAAAAAAAACCAAACAAACAAAAAACAAACTACCAGCATCTCTGGCTCCCAACCCCTATGGCCATCAGAAAATGTGCTTGCAGATTTGGGAGTACTCCCTAGAGAACTGTACCCTCTCCCCTATAAAGAGTGCCAGTGGCCAGGGGAAGAAATGGAAGAATCCAAGTATAGGAGTGACATGCCTGGGTATTACACATTCAGTATGTCCCTGGCAACTCCACAGGTTGGATCTTGTGTTGGTTTGAATAGATATGGCCCCATAGGCTCATGTGTTTGAGTGTTTGGTTCATAGGGAGTGACACCATTTGTTGTTTTGTTTTGTTTTTGTTGTTGTTATTGTTTGTTGTTTTTTGAGATAGGGTTTCTTGAGAC